GAGACCAATTGGTTCTTACTGTCTCTGGTGCTTATTTGGAACTGTCATATGGCACAGCTTTGGGGTCATACTACCTGCTGTGTGAATCCCTGCTTATCCATCTACCAGTTGTGAGATTTGGTCAAGCCTCAGTTTTCTCATCTATGAAATGGGGCTATAATACTATCTCATAGTTGTGAGGATCAGTGAGGTCATCTATGGGAAACACTTAAAATATTGTTGGCACTTAATAAGTAAATTATGAGTGATTGAAAACTGTCATTTGTTTTGTGGGATGTGAGATGAAGAGTAGAATATAGGCCCTGGGTCTGAATCATTTTCTGCAAAAATTCATTTTTCTGCAAAAAATTCATTTTTTGCATCTGTGGGAATTTGATGTCACTCAGGTACAAGTTCTCCTACTAAGGAAATAGAACTCTTACTTCATCTAGTTCTAAAAGAATCTAATGGATGTGTAAAAAGATTTTTATATCATCTGACACATAGTAGGTGCTCAACAAATAGCAGCTATTGTTGTTACATGGCTATGTAAATTATAATGCATAAATAACTTTTGTTCCCAATAAATTTGTAAGCTCTGTATAAGAAAGATCATAGCTTATCATTCTTTGTTTTTTCCACAAACCTTAAACAAAGTCTTGCACACAGTGGGTATAATTTTTTGTGTGGCTTTTTTGAACCTGACATCATATTCTTTTGGTCTTTTTTTAAAAAAGAAACTGCATTTAAATAATGTGTGTACGTGATCACTCATCAACTGGCTTTGTGGTTTTCCCTCAAAGCCTTTGACTTTTTGAAATATACTTTTTGCTTTGTTTTTCATTTTTAAAAAGACTTTATTGAATTTGTTACAACATTACCTCAGTTTTATGTTCTGGTTTTTTGGTCATGAGGCATGTGGAATCTTAACTCCCTGATCAGGAATCAAACCCACATCCCCTGCATTGGAAGGTGAAGTCTTAACCACTGGACCACCAGGGAAGTCCCTTGAAATATCCTAATACCAATATTGTTTCCCTCTATCAAAACATCAGGGCTCTGAAACAATTGGGGGAAGCGGTCAACTCAGTTTGTTTGTAAACTGGATTAAAAAAAAAAAAATTCTGGCCACTTATTTGGCGCCCTGTTCTGAAAACCAGGCAGCTAAAATGTTGCACAGGAAGAGTAGTGTAAACAGGTCGGTTTGCTGTACCTGTCCTGTTCCATTTCCATCAATTGAGTGTGCTGTTCCACTAGCTGACATTAGGCAGGGCAAGGTCACCAGGCAATTTGTTACCCTTGGGTGTCAGGGCTGCAGTGTCAAGTTTGGAAATTAGCAAGTGACTTTAAATCTTCCAAAGGGGACAGGCCTTGTTGCTATGGATAAGGTGTGAAAATTGTAGTAAACCATCAGTTTATAAACATCACAAATATGTTTGTCTGCACCAAGGGAGTAAAATTAAGTACCAAAAAACGTAAAGTAAAAATTATGGGTGAATTGAGGAATGTATTTGAATTCAGTGAAGGTAGGATTATTAAAATGTCACATAGTGTTACATGTTTTTAAAAAGAGCACATGTACCTCCTCAGGTAGACCAAAAGTGTCTGAATAGAACAGCATGTGTTAGAGGATCGAGTAGGAAAATAGGATTTGCCATAGAAATTACCTTACTCTGTTAACTTTGGACAATGTTCTATTGACTACAACTTGCCCTTTTCTTCTAAGAAGAGAATTCATGGGAGAAAAAAGAAACTGTTAGGAAAGAGCAAAAGAATGAAACATTAATATGGTAATATTTTTCTCTTTCTTTAAAAACTTTTAAATAGCCCTCCTATTTCAGATTAAACCAGGTTTCATTTTTCTTTCTATAGATTTAAGATAGTAAGTTTCAATTAAAAGACATTGTTTGCCTTGATGGTTTTATGAATCTCTTGCCTGTAATGATCCCAAGAGACTGACTTTTACAAAGAGAAATCCTCATTTCCTGGTAAATCTGTGTTTACTGTCTCATGTGCCTAGCACTGTGCTTAGAGGCTGCGAAGGATACAGAAGTGGAGCTCTCAGTTCTGTGCTGTGCCCCTTTGGGAAAAACAAACTTCTTTCCTCCTTGAGGCATTATCTGTTACTCTAGTATCTTATCTTAACGCATTCTTAGCCCAACACTTAAACCAGGAAACTCTATGGCTATTTATGAAGAAAGGATTACTCATGTTTTTCTCCAGCTTGGAGCTCTGTTAAGGTTAAAAAACAGGTTTATTCCTATGTCCACTGTAATTTTTCTTGAAGATATTGAAACTTTTTTTATTTCCCTGCATTGCTTTTTTTTGAAAAGAAATTTTATTGAAGTATAGTTGATTTGTAATGTGTTAATTTCTACTGTATAGCAAAGTGGTTCAGTTATACATATATATATATATATATATATAGATATACACACACATTCTTTTCATATTCTTTTCCATTATGTTTATCACAGTACATATTCCCTTTGTAATATTAATAGAATGGATGACAGTTTTCTAACAATAGTGGAGCATTTGGTTGATAAGTTACCACCCAGCAATGATAGAGTACCCATTTGCTTTTCTTGAGAGGTGTTTCCAAATAATAGTCATTTGGGACTTATAACAGACATTGAAGTTGACATTGAAAAGATGAACTTGACGAATTATCGTGGATCTATTGCTAAGTTGAGTGAATTTGGCTTCATATATTTAGATGATTGAGCATTTGGGAGGTCAAATGTGAAAAATACAAACAAGAAAGGGTTACTTAATTGCAAAACTTTATCAATTAAAAAAATTTTAATGTGTGATATTAAATAATTGCCTTTTAAATGCTTAAGAAATTAATCTTGTGTATCTATTTTGTATTCTTTTCATGATGTGCTTAACTTCATATTTTAGCAAAAACAAAGAACAACCTCAACATTTGACTTGTAATAAAAGTTGCTTAAATGAAAAGAGAAAAAAAGGTTGATTAAGAAATAACTATATGTATGTATTATATATATTTAAAACAGGCAATACTGAGAATTTGCTTCAGTATGCTCGGTTTCTAAGTGTATGATTTTTCTAGCAATAGGAAACTCTTTGTAAGTCGACTGACCTTTAGACAGCTACACTTTTTCAACCAGAAATTATTAGATACTAAGGGAAACAAATGTACTGAATTTACAAATGTATTATGTTGGATTACTAACAATAGACCTAATTGATAAAAGTGATTTAATATATGTTGTGTTAATAGCTAAACCTCCAAAGCCTCTAATCTCTCATGGAAATATTGCTTTGTAGAACAAAATCCAATGAGAAGTTCTGGGATTCCAGAGTGAATTTGTACATTCCTTAGGGGCATTTTTGCAAGGGAGGTTGTTGTGTTTTAAAGGTAGTTGATAAGAGACCTGCACCACCAACCCCAGACCTGCACCACCAACCACCATCATGCATTAGTCTATAGAAGGTATTTGGGTGTATGTATTCCTGTACCACTCGGTACCACCATTTAGTCAAGGAAAGTTTCTGACCATTTGCAGCATACATTATAAATCAGGATGTCACTACCAGACAATCAGATTTGAACATTCCATGAACAAAGTAGCCTATATCCCCTACGAATAGATCACTTAACTATGTTTATGTCATGCTGTTGATATGCCTGCCTTTACACAAGACAGGATAGCACGTTGCTTATTTATTTTGGGAGTAGGTAACTGATCTGTATATTTACTTAATTTCAGGTTAGTTAGTCAAACATTGAAATGGATAATTTAGCATGATTGCTTAAATACATGGGGAAAGTATAATTCTTCTTCTAACCCCCCAAATTATTCCTCTACCACCATGGGCTTGTCAAAGAATAATTTTGAGTCTCCTCCAAGTTGGGCTGATGTTGGCTGCTCTCTTAAAAAAAAAATAACATGATAATGATACAGCACATAATGTATAGGGAGGTCACTGGTCAGGTATTTGGGAAAACTCTGAGGACCTCCAACTGTCAGATTAGTCCCCCGGGGAGAAGTAGGAAAACTGCAGGATATACTGGTTGAATTTAATGAATTTCTTTAAGTTATATTCTCTTTCTGGTATCACTAGGGGTATCACTGCCACTTGGAAATGTGGCAACTTTGATGCCAAGTTTGTGTACTCAAGATTGGCTGCAGAGATTTTTTTTTTGTTTTTTGGCCTTTGTTTATTGGTGGAGAAGAGCTGTACCTGACATCTTGCAAATAAGTTACAAACAAAAAGTGAAGATGTTGGTCTGTATCTAAGAACAAAGAACCATAAATTGCTGTACATGATTTAGCAATAAAAATGGACTTAAAGAAACTGTAGAGTGTGAAACTGAAAAAAAAAATTACTCATGATGTTATTAATCAGAGAGAGTTACCCGTAGCATTCTGGTCTTTTCTGTGCCTTTTTTCTATTTGTTTTGGTAAAATTTTGTTCCCTTGTCTTTGTTACATTATATTACAAATATTTCTCCAAATCATTTAGTTCTTCATAACTACTTTAATGAGCTCCTAATATGATATTTAGATACAGATACAAGAAAGTTTAATCATTTTCACATTAGACATTTAGGAGGCTTGCAATTTCATTTATCATAAATAATACTAAGATGAAAATCTCCACACATAAATTTTTAAATTCTCTGCCTCATTCCTTAAGGGATAATAAAAGACCTAGAAGCTTGTTAAAGTGTAGAAGTAAAAGTATTAAAGAAGTATTAAATTTAAATTAAATTAAAGAATAAGTGCTTTTAAAAAGCAGGATAACTGTTGTCAAATTGATTTCCAGATTCCTTACATCAAGGTGCCTTCTAGTTAGCTGTGTGTTAAAGTGACCTTCCTGCAAACCCCAAAACAGAATATAATCATTAAAATGTTGTATAAGTAATTTATATCCTTTGATTACTAATTAGTGGAATACTTTTTTATTTCATCAAAAATCTGTATTTCTTTGAAATATCTGTGTGGATAACTTTTTAAGCTGGCTTTCTCTTGCTTGTGGGATTGCAGGATGTCGCAGTAACGAGTTTCAGTGCCAACCTGGGCGGTGTATTACTGCGTCCTGGCGGTGTGATGGGACCCGAGACTGTCCAAATGGCGCGGATGAAATTGACTGCCGTAAGTGAAGAGGGGCGGGGCTCAGCGCTGTTCTGAGTGACGGAAGTGATTTCAGCTGTAACAAAGACAAAGAGTTGTGACTTTAATAATAGTTTGTACTGAGCTCCAATCTTCAGCGTTAAAGTGGCATTAAGAATTCAGACCCTTTTGAGGAAGAGGTTCAGTTCACAGCAGTTTGTGTCTTATCCAAACAGCTTGGTAGGGAACCAACTTTCTGAGTTGTTTTCGGAAGCATATAAGCGATTATTTCATATTATTCAATCTGCAAATTTTGTGCATTAACAAGAACAAAAAAATAATGTCTGTACTGCTGTGATTTGTAATTCAGGGAGTCTGCTTTCATAAATAGGATGTAGTAGATGTAGTAGGATGTAGAGGAACTTGTGTGAATTACTATAAAGAGGTCACAGAAGTGGCTAGTGCAGTTTATGTTTTAAAAAATTATAGTTAAAAACATGATATAGACACCAAATTTAACTTTTTAACTTACAAGTAATTATGAAAATCATTTTCCACGTATTTATTCATTTAGTTCTGTCCATAGTATTCTGAAGTAGATTTCAGATGAGGAAACTGAGGCATAGAGAAGCTAAATTATCTACTAAAGGCTTCCTACTTGGTGTTATTAATCCCAACCCTTATATCCATTTTTCTCCCACCTTGCCATAGGAGATCCATCACCCTATTGCAGTTTCATTCATTTTGATGGGTGAATAGGTGATGATTATAACCCAAAAACCAAGAAGGCAAGTGAAAATTTGAGTTGTTTGCCATCCTTTGGCACAACAGAACAAACTTTGGTGTATTGTTTGGATGACAGTGCACTTTGAGAATAGGAGAAGTGTGGGGCATGAGGCTATGAGGTACTTTTCAAATTTTTCATGCAGTAATGGATCACCTGGGGGAGCTTGTTAAAGTGTAGGTTTTAATTCCTCATGCTTGAGGTGGGATCTGAGATTCTGGATTCTGGAAGCTCCCAGGAGATGCTGATGTTGCTAGTCTGGAAACCACACTTTGAGTAAGGGAGTAGTTCTATTTGTAGAGACATGATCATGTGTTATTTATTTGCCTCCTGGGCTTGCTGAGTTCATTTTAGGTTAAACACTAGGAGCAGGAAGTTAAGAAGAGTGTATTCTGATGCAAAGGAATAGCAGTTACACCCACAGATTTGTCAGTGTCCCATAAGTAAAGTAAGTAAAGTCTCTCAGTCGTGTCTGACTCTTTGCGACCCCACGGACTGTAGCCTACCAGGCTCCTCTGTCCTTGGGATTTTCCAGGCAAGAGTACTGGAGTGGGTTGCCATTTCCTTCTCCAGGGCATCTTCCCGACCCAGGGATCAAACCCGGGTCTCCAGCACTGCAGACAGAAGCCTTTACTGTCTGAGCCACAATGATAATAGCAACATACCAATGACAATAGTGATTGCAACTAATTTGCATGGCACTTTCACCTATGTTAGGGCTTCCCCAGTGGGTCAGAAGGGAAAGAATCTGCCTGCAATTCAGAATACCTGGGTTCGATCCCTGGGTCAGGAAGATCCCTTGGAGAAGGGAATGGCTACCCACTTCAGATTTCTTGCCTGGAGAAGTCTATGAACAGAGGAGCCTGGCAGGCTACAGTCCATGGGGTGGCAGAAAGTCGGACATGACTGAGCAGCTAACACTTCACAAATGTTACTCTTATTTTTTACAGCAATGTGAGAAAAGTATAGATCCCATTTTATGATGCATACATTGAGATTCAGAGAACCTGCTGAAGATTTTAAAGCAAATAAATTGTGGAAATAATAAAATGATTTGATTTGGAGTCTTATTTTCCAAATCTCATGGATTTTACAATTTATCCTTATGCTTTACTATTAGTTATTACAATACAAAACACTTCAAGTAATTTAATAATTATAAACTAATGGTTGATTTTATTAAAATTAAAAATGTAATTAAAAATTAAATTTAATATTGTTTTGGTCATAACTTTGTATGTGTGTTTTTGTATGTATGTATGCTATTTATCTTATTCTCTGGAATTTTGTATCTCTTTGGATCATCATTTTGTTGTGATACCATTGAGATTATTTGACTGTGAACACTGGCTAAGGTCCACAGGCTCTAAGGTTTTTTTATATTTGCTATCAAATATATTGAGCAGTTGACATACTTCCTTTAAAAGGAGTATTGCTTGTTGGTATAATAGGGTGGATGTTTGACACAATGAGTTCTTTTCTGGTTTATTTTAGCCACCAGTAGTTGCCATTCCAACCAGTTCCTGTGTCCGAATGAACAGCTCTGTATCCCTAGCAGCTGGGTGTGTGATGGGGAAGATGACTGCAATGATGGTGCAGATGAACGTCGGCATTGCCGTAAGTGCTTGTAGAGGAGTCTTGTTTTGGCCCTTTGGACACCTTAAATTCTAACCTTTACAAATACAAAACACAGTGAAATGATTCTTTGTAAATGAAAGAAAAGTTGAGCCTTGAAGGACAAGGAAACCTGTGCCAGCCATCTCACCCAGGGGTTGAATGATACTGAAAGTGTGAATGTGCTAAAGATTTATCAATACATCCCTGTGATTTAGATTCCCAGCGTTTAATTCAGGTTCTGTTACACTTAAGAGTGAAACAAAACACTTTTTGGTGTCTATATGTGAGGGTCTTCATTTGTCTGGCAGTTGGATGTTTTGGCTGCAAAGAATAAAAATGTAACTCAAAAAATTTAAACAAAAATGGAATTTATTATCCACACAACAAGTATAAATGTAGCATTGTTCGAGGATTGACTGGAAGATAATGGAAACTCTCAGTTCCTTGAATTAATAACATCATCCAATTTTCTTCCACTGTTCTGCCCTGATGTCTTTTTAGCCTGTTAGGTTCTCATGATTGCATGAAAGCTGTAGAAGTCCTGAATTTTACATTCCCATAATTCACGTTTTAATATCTAGAAGAGAAAGCATCAGCATCTTGATGGATTGAGATGGAGAGAAGATACAAGGCTGTGATGAACCTCCTCTAGCTCTTGACCTCAGGTGTCCTCTGGAAGTATCCAGCTCTGATTACTGTGTAGCATTCATCTTTGAACTTTCCCACATTCTGTTTCATTACATGCACATCCCACAAATCAGTGGACATCTACCATCACTCTGTGTTTGTTTTGAGATAGCCACGATCCTGTTGGCATTTTCTCATAGTCATTGCCCACAAAGATCAAAGACGAAATGGATGTTTTGACAAGTACTTCATATGGGAACTTGTTTAGTTGTTAGGTGACTAGCAATGGAGATGCTATGGGCTTCAGTGGGTTCTGGGTGTATTTATAAAAAAAATGGAATTTAGTCCAGGAATTTTGAGGCCAGCGTGGAGTATGAACTCTTCTCAGTTGGGCCACTAGATACCTTCTTTTGAGGAAAGTAATGGAAATTCTCAATACTCATGAGTTTGACTTTGGTGTAAAGGTAAAATGTAGACTGTATTAAACAATCTATTAGGACTTGTCAGTGCTGGTCATGTGCTGGTCATGTTGCCATCCAGTAACAAAGAGATGGTGGTCCTTGGGACAAAGTGGTTAAGAAGAAACCAGTGAAATATGTAGAACTGTGAAAGGTGGTGGTGAGGTGGTGACAGATTGCAGTCTTGAGGAAGGTACAGACAGGAGCTAATCAAGGCCAAATGGGAACATGGCATATCTAAATCAGGTCCAGCTATGAATCAGGATTTAAGGTAGATTAGCAAAATGGGAGTGAGGGCATGGTTCAGAAGTACTGAAAGGAGGAAGGAAAAGTACCAGGGATGGTGGGGAGCAGGAAGAAATCCTTGTTTCTAGGAAATCTGTCTGGGCTCTGATATTCTCTGGCCTCTCAAAGGTCCTAGAGGAAAAGGGTGACCTCTGTGCTTGATTGTGAAGCTCTGGAGAGCAGTGACTATGCTTTATTCCGCTTCTATCCCTAAGGCTTGCTATTCTGTGTCACAGGGAGTAAGTTCTTGATAAATGGACACTGAATGAATGAATGACTGGTTATTTATCTTTTGGCTCCATATGCCATTTGGTTCCATTTCCCCTTGCTGCTGGCAGTGAGTAGAAAGAAAGCTGAGCTGTAGATTGTGATGCAGTGTGTGGTGGATGACCTGTTGCTAATACTACATAGAGGGGATGGGAACTACCAAGGGCCACTGCTCGGGGAGATTCTATAATTTGTAAGCAATGCTTCATACTATTGTAAATGGGTATGGATTTCATAAGGTAACTCTTACATTGTAAAGTTTGTATGGTGTTTTCATCAGATCCTATTTCCCCCAAATGCTTCTCTTTTTATGTGGATAATTAAAAAGTCCCATCATATTTCCTATATCAAACTCATAGAATAGAATTCACATGAAACAACCATCCATTCGATTTTGTCTGATTTATCCAGAGACAAATTTGATAAACTACTGATGTTCTGCCTTCACCTACCATAATCACCTACCATTTAAGCTAGCTTAAATATCTGTTTATAAAACTGACACATATTCAGTGTAGAAAGCTTATAAAATAAGTTTTCTCTAAGATTCTAAAGAAAAATATCACTTACATTCCTGATATTCAGAAGTAATTACTGTTTACCCTTTGGCATATTTCCTTCTGAGGAGAACTTTTGTTGTTGTTCAGTCGCTAAGTTGTGTCTGACTCTTTGTGATCCCACGGACTGTAGCATGCCAGTCTTCCACATCCTTCACTATCTCCTTGAGTTTTCTCTAACTTATGTCCATTGAATCAATGATTCTAACGAACCATCTCATCCTCTGTTGCCCCTTTCTCCTCCTGCCTTCAATCTTTCCCAACATCGGGGCCTTTTCCAATGAGTCGGCTCTTTGCATCAGGTGGCCAAAGTACTGGAGCCTTAGCTTCAGTATCAGTCCTTCCAGTAAATATTCAGGGTTGATTCCCTGTAGGATTGACTGGTTTGATCTCCTTGCAAGGGGGACCTTGATTAATACCTATACTTGCAAAATTCTTGTTTCATCCATCCTTTTTACTGTGTAGGTTTTCAAGCTATATTGTATTCTCAACACATGTAGATAATATAATTGTCTACAGTCACAGATTTGAGTGTTTTGGGTGTTTTGATAGTATGCTTGTCCTAACACCCTTGCTTTCACAGTGTAAGAAGTCTACCTTAGGATAGCCAGGTGCTCCACCTTGTGACCCTATGAATTTTATGTTCAGTGTATGGGTTACTTGCCTTTACTTTTAAATTTCCTCATTCATATATTTGTTAATGTTGTCACATTTGTTAATTGATCTGTGTTCGTCAGTAATTATAAAGTCATATTTTTTTTCCTTTCACAGCTGGGATAACATGCTCAAGCCGTCAGTTTACCTGTGAGAATGGTGAATGTATCCCAGGGGAATTCAGATGCGACCATTCTGTAGACTGCTTAGATGGAACTGATGAGAAAAACTGCCGTGAGTTCCTTAAAGTCTTTGCCCTGTATTTAGTTTCACCTTTGTCCCTTTGGCATTTTAATCAATTTGTTGATGGATAAAAATGCCTACAATATGCCTCTTGTTATTGAAATCTCTTGGCAGATTCTTTTGTGGATTAGAGGTGATGTTCTGATAGGAGTGTATTTTTAGCAAGACATTCTGAGTGTGTCCTGTCTTAGCACATTAAGTTTCTGTATGTCTTGAAGTAAGAAACTTTTAACTTTTTTTTTTTTTTTGACTTGTTTTTCTTTCTTTCTTTCTTTTTTAAATAAGCTTTAACATAGAGTCACAAAAAGTCAGTGAGTATAAAACCCAGTTTGATCAATTTTAACTTTTATTACATTACGATGGTAAGCTTCTAGGTCAAATGTCTTTGGCCAATAAGAGTTTTTCTGTTCCTGCGGACTCAGTGTTTTGTTTGCCTTTGGAAATGTGTACATTTTGAAAATGGCTTTCTGTAATGGAAGAACGTATCAGTTTGTAACTGATCACCACAAGATAAAGCATACAAATCACAGTGTTCTGCAAATAATGAATATTTATTACCATAAGCAAAATAAGAAAGTGAAATCATAGTGCATAATTTACTTCTTACAAATGAGTAAAGAGTAATATGCCTCTCTTGAGATTTATATAGAATTTTTAGAATATGAGAGGATACTAATTATTCTGTTGTGTCCTTCCTCTGGTCCATCTGACTCTGACGACATACCCATTTTCTCTCAAAGCCCTTGTAAGTCTATCATTTCATACATTTTTCCAGAGCCTCCTTGAGTTTCCTGCATGCTTCCTGGTATACTGCATTTTAAACTTCACAGAGTTATTTAATGTTTCGTATTCTAATAATCAGTGGATAGACTTTGCACCTTAGAAATCTTGATCATAAGCTTCTTGGTTATTATGTCTTCAACTAAAAAGTTAAGTTTTAGTCTGTTCTCCTGAGGCAACTTTTTTATTATTTGATCATTTTGATATGATTTTAGTTCTCTGGACTATCCCTAAGTTCTTTCCTTTGGTAGGCTGTGTGAGAAGCATACCCTTTCCAATATGGCACCATGCCTGGCGTGGGAGCTAACAAACTGGTTATGAGCAAATTGTTTGTATTTACTGTACTGTACAGACTGTGCTCTTGATGGAAGAAATACTGGTATGTATGCCAGATTCATGCTGCAGCCTCACTATCATCGCACAGTGCATTAAAACAAAACAAAAAACTTCTCCAATGCTTTCTTCCCTTGTATGTTACTTTGCTTTGAGAGGAGGTTCTGCTATTTGTCTTTGTGTCTCTATTTCCTAGCAGTTTCTGGTATAGTTCTGTTGTAATTTTCAACTTACACGTTTTCTTTTGAAAGAGATTATGTTGCCTCTAATTCAGATCTTCTTTAACTTGAGAAAATTTATGGAAAATTTAGACTTAATTTAATACTGGCAGTTTTAGAGACAGCAGTGTTTGTGTCTGGAGGTCACAAATAGTCCAGAATCAAGGGCTCCCCTTTGAGTACTTTGTAAAGCAAACAATAAATCATTTATGGTGGCAAGTGAAGAAAATATTTTTCATTAAGAATAGAGACAAATCATACATTATATTTTGCAGTATTGTGTAAACTTCAAAGTGTTATGTAAATTCCAGTGGTTACTCTTATTAGGCCGCTCACTGGGAACAATAGCACCAGTATTATGGTACTGTCTTCTGAATAAAGTAACTGAACCAGCAAGGACAGAGTGGCTTGTTCAAGGGTAAGTGGTGTGTGGCAGGGCTAGAGCTCAGCTCGTCCTCTGGTCCAAGTCTGGTGATTGCTGTTCATGAAGGACTTTATTTACAGAAGGCGGAAGTCCTACCTTGTGCAAGAACAAAACAGGTGACCTGTGCCACCGGCCTGCATCTTTATCCCTTATTTACGAATGGATAAAAAATGAATGCTTTATTGCCAATGCAATGAGACTTGAGGAAAGGCAAAATAAAAAGCAGCCAAAACACTGTTTGGATTTATCCCATGTGAATACTCTGCAGCCAAGTCTCAAGTCACCAATACAACCGCCTCATGACTTTGCCAATGGACCTTCTGGAAGAAAAGCTGGAAGGGTTCAGGTAGCTCTTATAGGAGTGAAGGAAAGGACGTGAGTTTTGTAAAATATCTGGGCTGGAGTTCGTAATCAAGGTTTGTTTATATATTTTTTTAAGTGCATACAAATAATTGTCGAACTAGAGTTAAAGCTCATTGTTTCTGGAATCATACAAGTCATGAACCCTTCAGGGTTCACGGCCCTAAGGTGAATCTCACCATGTAAGGGGGTTTTACAAGGAGATTTCTTTCTTCCTATTTTTCTCTACCTCGTTTATTTATTGCTACACGTTATTTAAGGACTAGTATAAAAGAAATTTAACAAATCAGAGGAAATGGAAAAAGAATCCTTCTACTTCCTTGTTAGTGCTTTGATCTCCTGGCCATGTAAGAAGGAAAGGAATGACCTGGATCAAAGTGTTTAATAAGTGCCAGCATGCAGGGGGCAGGATTGGCCTTATTTTATTTTCCCTCTTTGTTTGGAGATCCTGTAGGAAGTGAGAGGGCATCAACCACTATCTTATTCAGTTTTCACGTCAGTACTACAAGGTACTTTACAGAGATCCTTAAAGATCATCAAGAGGTAAAGGTGGATGAACCAAAGTATTAACCTAGGTCTAAATCCTATGCCCATGCCCTTGGAATATTTTTCTTTTGTGTAAGATGTTTATAGAACATTTTGCCTCCAGATTGCATAGCTATTTTATTATTAAAATGATACATTCAAAGCTTTTTATTACGGAAAGTTTTAAACATAATCAAAAGCAGAGTGATTGCATCAGCTTATAGCTAATTTTGTCTTACCTATATCTCCTTGTTTTTCTTTCTGTTATTTTGAAGCAGTTCTCAGATATCATACAGTTTTGTCTTTAGGTAATACAATATCTAATTGCTAACACATAAGGAAGGACTATCAGCTCTGCATGCGTACTCCATCGTGTACAACTCTTTGTGACTCCGTGGACTGTAGCCCGCCAGCCTCCTCCATCCATGTCCATGGGATTTCCCAGGCAAGAATACTGGAGTGGTTTGCCATTTCCTACTCCAGGGGATCGTCCCGACCCAGTGATAGAACCCGCGTTTCCCACATCTCCTGCATTGGCAGGCAGAGTCTTTACCACTTCACCATCTGGGAAGCAAGTAATCAGATATCCATCCAGTTTTTAAAAGTTCTCCAATTGGCTTATTATTTTTTATTTGGAATAAAAACCCAAAGAAAATTTATATTTTCTGGAGTTTCCCATATTTTTATTTATTTTTTGTTCATTGCACTCTCTAATGTTTTTAAACTGCCCCAGAACTGTACTTGCTGGAAATTGGTAGTTAGATCTAAAGTAAGTTTCTTCAGTCTTAAAAATAATGACATTCGGGTCCAATAATTATGGTGGGGAGCTGTCTCGTGCATTGTAGAATGGCTCTCAGTATCCCTCTAGTGGCCTCTGTCCACTCTAAGCCAGTAGCACCTCCCAATTGTGAGAACCAAAAGTGTTTCCAGACAGCGTCCAATGTCCTCTGGGAGCAGAATTCCCTTCCCCTGCTCCATCTGAAGACAGCATTATCTAGGTACTTGTACAGTGGCAAGAATGTGTATGTCTGTATGTGTGTAAGGGCAACAGCGCTTTGTATATAAAGGTATGTATTTCCATCAGGAGGCATCTAATGCCTAACTGTCCCTTTGTGAGGTTAGCAGCCATTAATGGTCATGTTGAGATCCATTTAGTCATAGGGGTACTTAGCTACTTTAAACATCACTTCAAATATATAGCAGCTGTTTATTAGTTGTTTTAAATGAGAATGTTCCCACGTGATGGAGGATTAAGTGAGGTTTTGCCAGAAATCATTTTTGTGACACTTTGTTCTATTGTTTCGGCAGTCATGATGCATAGGAAAATTACTTATGGACAGACAGAATCCGTTTATGAATATGGCTTTGTCTATTTCTCAGGAATAAGATTGTCTGTAGGAATGAGTCTTCTAGGCCCTAGAAACACTTAAATATAGTGATGGATGTTGGAAAATTGCCAAGAAGGACTTATTTCTTTTCCCCAAATATTTGAAAGGATCAGGAAACTTGACTCTGTAGTTCATAGTCCTGCCTGTCAGCTCAGACCCCTAGGGATATAGTTCTTACTCCTTCAAACTTTTAAGGTCAAGATCTTGAGCTGTGTCCATTCCAGGCACTCTTTTTACAGAACAAAGAGTGGTGTGTAAAGGTCCACTCAGGTAGGCAGGGAGAAAGGGAGGGGAAAGAGTGAGGGAGATGATGAGGGAAGGCAAGGGTATGAAGGTCCCAATTAAAGGATTATCCTTGAAATAAATTGTTTCTTATTATATTTGATCTTTTTGCTGTGTTCCTGTATGCATAAGGCACAGATATTTATGGTTATTCTGCTGTTTGGGAACTTTCTGAACATGTGTGTGTGTCTGTGTGTGCACGCGCGTGCATGCACTCATGTATGTGTATAGTTGTGAAATAGGAAAGTTCATTTTCCCTAAGTTATTTTGCTCTTCATGCTGGTCACCTATAAAGTGGCACTTTCTATTAAACAGCTTATTAATTATTATTTTTTAAGGAACAGAGATTCAAAACTGCCATCTATGTTACTTTTAATGAGATTAGCATCAAGGGAAACACACTCACTCAGAGTCCAAGATAAGCATCAGAACAGTGCAGCAATTATAGGTCATGCACTGACTTTTGGTTGTTCAAAAACAGTATAATTTTTTCTAGTGAAGTAAACAGATTATTTCATTTTTATCAAGTGCCATATTAGCATGTTTTTGGTGTGAGTGAAACTACTGCTAATTATCATTGGTTTGCAGCCTTCTCTTTTATTCCTTAGGAATGCCAAAGAAAGGGTCAAATCCCTGTTACAATGAAGGCTTTCTTGCTGGTAATCAGCAGTGTTTGGTCTG